TGTCCAAAGCCCCTCTCCAGGTTTCCTGTCGACCCCCTTATATATCAGGTGTTATTTAGGTTTAGCTGTGCTAAAATCCTTGTGGAAATTAGATTGTACTAAATCCCATGCAGAGAATGGCTGGAGCGTGACTCCACAGCCTCACAAACAGCACCCATAAGGGGCTGCCTAAAACACAGCTGCAAGAGTGTCATTATGTGGAAGACCGGCATTTCAGGGCTGCCTTAGGGGACAATTCCAGGTCAGTCCTACACAACCTGTGGGCAAGGCTCAGCAAAATTCCCCACCCGGATTTTGCCAGGAGGGTTTGGATCAATAACTGCTGTAGGTGCTGGTGAGATGCACATTCTCCTGCTCCTTTGCTGTAGCATGAACAGACTTATCAAAATAAAACTGTACTAGAGAAAGAGCCGCTTCTGGAAGCCACATTTTGTGTACAGACAACCCTATGCTTTGTACGCACAACTTTACCCCCACAGTCACCCCACAACCAGGGTATTTATCCCAGATCTAATCTCAGATAGCAATTTACCACAAGTCATCTCTAATAATCGCACCTTCCCTATTAGCAAAACACCAGCTACTCACTTCTTGCGCATGTTTGCAGGGTACATTGGCTGGACACCAGCTCCCAACTGAATTAAGATGAGGTAGATGCAATCGGTGGGAGGCTCCTTCTGGAAATCAACCTTAATTTTCAGTGCTCAAAGCATCTTGCAGATCGAAGCCCCGGGGTTTCTTTACCAGGGAGGTTTGGTAATTAAAAGCTGCTACTGGCAGTCATTCTGCACAGCTGGAGAAAGGAAACACAGCTCCAGGCCTGCAGCCATCCAGGCTCCATCTGCTGGCACAAGTCCGGAAAATCCCTTGCAGATGCTTATTAAGTGGGGGAAAAAAAAGACACAAATCCCAGATAACACAACCTGGGACACCTCAAAGCCTAATTTAAAACTGTTGCCCCTAAATTGTCTAGTTTTCCCTGCCTCTAAAGCTGTTACACAGCAGCAGACACCCTTATTTATGCACTGAGGTGTTCAAGTTTCATTTACACTTACATGAAATACGGATTCCAGTGCATGGCAAAGCTGGCTGACAGTTTTTGGTGTCATCTCTCAAACACAGGGGGCTTTTTATCCCCTTTGCTTAACGAGCTGCCTGTAGCTCTGTACTAGACCTTAACATGTGATGGCAAGAACAAAAGTGTCTGTCACTAACTTACGATGACAAAAGAGCCTTGGTGGGACAGGGAACAGCAAAGCTCAAACCTGAGTGAACTTTATGGGAACACTCAACACATCAGCTGGATGATCCAGGAGAGAGAGAAATCACTTGGTGTCTCTGAGCTGCTGGAAGAGGCACGCAGGGGTTTATTGTGGTTTCGTATACAAGTCCTGATCCGGGGGATTTCAAAGATCATCCAAGACTGGGCCACATTCCAGCTGCCATCCATGATATTGGACAGCATCGGCTCTTCTGGATTCCTTTCTCCACCTTTACAAAAGGTTTCACAGTTTAGAAGCATAGAACAAGACGCTTGTGCCCCAGGCAGGGGTGGAGAGAGGTGGGTATGGAGCAATGGGGCTAGAAACCAGTCTGCAAACAGTCCTGAAACAACACAGTAAAGGTTCTGATTGTCTGCAGCACCCACTGGAGCTGAGGTCACCCCAGTGACACATGGAAAAGAGGGAAAAAAAGAGTAAAAAGAACCTGAGACAGCAGAATTATCATCATAATCCCCCAGAAGCCAAGCAGCAACCATATAAACACTGAGGAAAGTAAGAACTACAGTGATATTCATCATCTTGGACACAAATTAATATAAAATGTATATTAAAAAGTCTTCTGCTTCATAAAGCAGCTTTTGTTTTTCTTGAAAGCTGTCACACTGAAGTGATATTAAAAACTCCACATCTCCTGCCTGTAGTACATTAAAACAAAACAGCAGCCTGACCCCTACTTTGGATCATTGCTCAAGCAGGAAGATGTTTGCAGTGAGGGACAGAGGCGGACAGGCTCCCAAGAGAAGCCAGATATGTTTGAGAAGGCAGGATACAGGTCACAGGGGAGGTAGCAGAAAGGCAAAAATCATCTTAACCAGTCTCCTTATAAATCTCATGAGGACAAATTTGGGGATTAGCACCTCCAAAACCAGCCCAATATAAAGAGATCCATCCCTAGAGTCACTAACTTTAAGTAATTATCTAAAGGAGCATAGGAAGAACAATTCCAAAGCCAAGTCCGCCTTGGTGACAGCCAGCACACCAGGTGGACCAGCTTCACAGTGCTCTGCTTTTACCTCAGGGTGTTCTCAGTGACAAGGTTTGAGTTTTACAATCAGTCTGACAATAAAATACAGTACAAGTAGTGTTGTGTATGACATCCAGCACATCAAACAACAGCCCAGCAGCTTGTGGTGTCAGCTACAAGAAGACAGGAGGCCAGGAGGACACTGAGCTGCTGATGTTCAGTGCATGCACTAATATCTGTGTGGAGGACCAGCAGCAGCCCCAGGTTATGTGGAGGTGAAAGGCAAAGCTGCCCGTGTTGAGCTGTGTTTGTTGCCCTCAAGTGCTGGTTCACCAAGAGGCAACATAAACCCAGTGGTGTGTTGTAGCCTCACCTCCTGCTCCCCATCTACAGCATGAGGGCAGTTCTCCAGCCCCAGCAGCCCTTCCCACCCCACCTCAAGCCACAGGCAGTTTGTTCATCTCAACCAACACTGGGAAAGTAAATCTTAGGTCTTTACAAGATTGGGCCAGAAATGCCCATCGAGGTCCCACATCCTCACTCATTCCTCCCAGTCTTCCGCTGCCCACTCGGGCATCCTGGAGCAGTATTCAAACCCCGTGCCCTTGTAGCGCAGGGCATGCAGGTACATCACCAGCTCCTTGGGAGATGGGTCCCGCCTTATCATCCTACATTCCACACACAAAGGGTCCTTCTCTCCTGAACCTTTTTCTCCCACTTCCCCATCCTGATTCTCACATGATTTGAGTTCTTTACTTTCAAGTGTTTCCAGGCTGGCAGCAGAGTTCAGTGGACAAGCTGCTGTGTCATTTCTCCCAGGATCCTGACTGTCCCTCCCGGGATCCTGAGCATCTTCAGCAGGGCAGGAATTCTCACTGCTGGCATCTGCCTGCACAGGCTTTGTGCAGTCACTTGAATCACCGCAGTCTTTACCTTCAGCGCTGGAGTTCAAGTCCTCCTCCATAATACCCAGGATATCCAGGCTCTGTTTGGAACGATGCTCCTCTACTAGTGCCTTGAGGAGCTCTTCATCTGTTTTATCTATCTTGCCCCCCTTCCCCCTGTCAGGGCCCCAGGCTTCCATGTTGTAGATGGGGTCGTTGACTATAGGGTGCCCCAAGAACTGCAAATGGACCCGGATCTGGTGCGTGCGGCCGGTGTGGGGCAGGCACTTGACCACGCTGCTCTTCCCATTGTAACTGAGCCTCTGGAAGATGGTTTTGCAGAACTTCCCTTTGGGATCCACACGACAGACTCCCACTTTGTAAGAAACCACCAGGATGGGCTCCTCACAGACCACTTCATGCTCTGGGAACTCCCCCACCACACGGCAGACGTATTCCTTCTCCAGCTGTGGGGACACAGAGGAACTCAGAGAACAGAACAGGAACCATTTCTATCCCAGTGACCCCCCATGTCCCACCCCAGCTACTCCTCTTTCTCTTCAGTGAAATGCACGTGTAGGTAGCACATCACCAAAGTTTTATTACAATTCAACAGGAAAGAGAAAAAAAAATCAGTTATTTACAGCCAAATATCTCTCATGCTCTCTCCAAGCAGCTGGGAAATGAACACCACAAGGGCCTGGTCTATTGATCCCCTCCCCCCCCCTCCCCTCCCGTTGTGCTTGGCTGCAATCCCAGAGAATGAGCAGCAGGTCGAGGGATTCTCCTCCTCTGCTGTGTGAAGACAGCTCCAGTGCCTAAAGGGGCTCCAGGAAACCTGGAGAGGGGCTTTGGACAAGGGATGGAGGGACAGGACAAGGGGAATGGCTTGAACCTGCCAGAGGGGAGACTGAGATGAGCTCTGAGGCAGAAGCTCTTCCCTGTGAGGGTGCTGAGGCGCTGGCACAGGGTGCCCAGAGAAGCTGTGGCTGCTCCATCCCTGGCAGTGTTCAAGGCCAGGTTGGACACAGGGGCTTGGAGCAACCTGCTCTAGTGGAAGGTGTCCCTGCCCGGGGCAGGGGTTGGAGCTGGATCAGCTCTAAGGTCCCTCCAACACAAACCACTCTGTGGTTCTGTGATGTTCCTCATATTAAATTGAAGAGCCATCTCAGCAGCCTTCAGTTTACAACCTGGAAGCAAACCCTGGGAGCTAGTACAGCTACACTTCTACTTGGGTCTGGAGCCACTGGAAAAGTGAGGAAAAACTTCCAACACGTGTAAAATGGCAGAACTATTTGATGACTGATATGTTTCCACTTACAACTCAAACTGCTCCCTAACTGCTCTGCACCACCCCAGTCAGTTTGGGGACCAGTCTGAGCACTGACCCTGCACATTCCCACAGGGAAGAAGATCCCTTTCAATCTAATATTACCAAAATCAATTTGATTTTTATTCAGTCTTTCCTCATACTTAATAAGAACAGCAACGTGCCCACGAGCTGAGCTGGGAACTTGTGCTTGTTCAGACCAAATGAGCTGACTTTAGACCTAACTCTTTCAAGAAAATACTGTGTGGAAAGCCCAAAATCTCCCCGAGCCCTTTGTCCTCACCTGCCTCTCGCGAACCTGCTCATCAATCCTCTTGGACACCTCCACAGTCTTGGCAAACATGAGCACCCCCGAGGTCATGCGGTCCAGGCGGTGGATGGTGTGCAGCTCCTGCAGCCCGTGCTCCTTGCCCAGGATGAAGATGACCGTGTTGTGACGGAACCTGCCGCAGGGGTGCACGGGCAGGGAGGAGGGTTTGTCCACCACCACCACCTCCTGGTCCTCCGCCAGGATCTGGATGGGCTGAGCAGTGACTGGTGGCTCATGGCGGTGGACGGTGTTCCTGAGGAAGTCGTTATTCTGCAGGACAAAGGAACCAGTGTGAATCCAGCTGGTACAGCCGTTCCTGCTGGCCACACGCAGCAGGGGCTTGCTGTGGTGGGGGGACTGAAGGCAACCTCTCTCCTAGAACCCAGGATTTGGCACCACAAGTGTGCTCATCACCCCCAGAGTTCAATAACCTGCCTTAAGTGTTAGCTCCGTGCCTATGGGGCCGAGCAGGAAGCCTTGGGGCACCCTGCTCCATGTGAGACTGCAGGACAGCCTGCTCGTGACCCCTCCAGGGTAGGGATTCCCTGGGAGACCGGATTCCCTGGGAGACCAGATTCCCTCAACCACCTCAGCACCACCGTGGGGTTCTTCCACAGCTCTGCCCGGGGTGATGCCCACTGCCAGAGCCCAGCGGCTCCCC